GATTTTTTGGAGAGGGCTTTGGCTAAATGGGGCTTCTCTCCGGTTTGGATCTCCCATGTCATGGCGTGTGTTTCATCTGTGAAGTATTCGATGAATTTTAATGTGAAGCTATTGGATTCTTTCTCTCCCTCAAGGGGACTCCGTCAAGGTGACCCGTTATCACCCTTTCTCTTCTTGTTTGTTGCTAATGCTCTATCTTCCTTGATTCACAAGGCTACGCAACAAGATGGTCTCGAAGGAATAAGAATATGCAGGGGGGCACCGGAAATTTCCCACCTTATGTGTGCGGATGATTCCCTACTGTTCTTCCAGGCAACAGAGCAGCAGGCACTGTTGGTGAAAGGTTTGTTGAACATGTTTGCGACGGCGACTGGCCAACTGATTAACCCATCCAAATGTTCCATCCTCTTCTCAAACCAGTGCCCACCAAATGTTGCATTGCAATTAAAGAATATTCTGGAAGTCAGTCAGGAAGCTTTCGAACCCAAATATTTGGGTTTGTCGATCCCCGAAGGTAGGATGCACAAGGGGAAGTTTGAGTCAGTACAAGAATGGCTGAGAAAAGTTATTGTCGACTGGAGTGAGCAATACATGTCTTCTAGCAACAAAGAGGTTCTGATTAAGTCGGTAGCTCAAGCCATTCCGACCTATGTCATGAGTATTTTCAAAATTCCCTATTCAGTGTGTGATGATCTGACTCGTATGATACGCCAATACTTGTGGGGGTGGAGAACGACAAAAGGAAAATGGCCTGGCTGAGCTGGGACAAACTACGGTTACCTAAATCCATGGGTGGCATGGGTTTTCGGGACATGAGGGCTTTCAACCAGGCTTTGCTAGCCAAACAGACCTGGAGGCTCATCGACAACCCAGATAGCTTATGTGCGCGCCTGTTGAAAGCTAAATACTACCCCTCGGGTCAGCTTCCCGATACAGTCTTCCCGAATTCCGGTTCGGAGGTGTGGAAAGGAGTTCTGCATGGCCTTGAGCTTATAAAGAAGGGGGTCATATGGCGTGTCGGTAATGGTACAATGATCCGGACGTGGCGTGATCCGTGGATTCCGCGTCCTCAATCCTTCCGTCCAATCACTCCTAAACGGAATTGTCGTTTCGATTGGGTTTCTGATTTCCTTGATGACAATGGTGCATGGAGGTATGATCGGTTGAGGGAGTTCTTTTGGGATATGGATATTGTGCACATTCTGAAGATCAGGCCCTCGCCGCGCCAACGTGACGATTTTCTGTCTTGGCACCCGGAGAAGAGTGGCCAATTCACTGTAAGGAGTGCTTACAAGCTGGCCACTTACGACCACAATGCTACCTTTGCAAATGGTGCATCTAGTACCAACCCAGAGGGGAACCGGTCGAGCTGGAACTACATATGGAAGTCCAAGGTCCCCCAGAAAATGAAGATTACGGCTTGGAGATGTGCGACAGGTACACTAGCTACACAGCAATGTAAAGCCTACAGACACTTGTCAACGACATCCACTTGTCCGCTGTGTGGTGTTGAGGTAGAGGATTCCTTCCATGCATTAGTAACCTGTACCCATGCAAGAATTTTATGGATAAACATGAGACGAAGATGGCCACTGCATGGGGACAAGCTTCTCATCTCCGATGGAAAAGAATGGCTGGTCTCCCTGCTGGCCAGATGATCTGTAGATGTCCGTGATATGCTCATCCAATTTGTTTGGAAGATTTGGCAGTTGCGTAATGATATGACCCATGAGAAGGCAGCTCCCCCGGTGCCGTCTACCATCGAGTACTTGGATAGTTACTACACATCCATCAAGTTAGCTGGTTGCTTTTCTGCTGAAGATATCCTCAAGGGGAAGACGCCTACTGCGGATATGGTCATGCCGAGGCACACGGTGGAGCGGCCTGCAGTTCCCTGGCCAGCCCCGGCGCGGGGCATCGTGGCGCTCTCGGTTGATGGTTCGTTTCTCCAAGAGGATGGCTCTGCTGCTGCGGGGATGGTGCTTAGGAATGATAAAGGGGAGATTCTGATGGCCGCGTATCGATATATTTTTCACTGCAACGACCCACTCAAAGCTGAGCTACATGCAATCATGCAGGGTATGGCCTTGTCCATCCAGCATTCCGATCTTCCGGTGGTCGTGCAAACAGACTCCTCTGAAGCCATGTCCAGCTTGACAAATGGTGCGTTGGTTCACTTATTATTCGGTCATATAGTTCGGGAGATCAAGGATCTACTTGGTAATAGAGAGTTTTTTCCACAAAAAATTAGTAGGCTCCAAAATAGAGTTGCCGATCGCCTGGCGAAATATAGCCGGTCTGAAAGAGCTACGGCTGTGTGGCTTGGTTTGGCTCCATCATGTATCAAGGACATTTGGCTTCTCGACTGTAACTCTATTCATTTGCAATAAAACTCCCTTTATCCCCGAAAAAAAAGTACCCACTCGGCTGCGTTCAGATAGTGCCCACTCGGCTGTATATGCTCTAACCCAACCAGCGTAGGGTTTTGGTGTGAGGTGCTGCCGCAGATAAAAAGCAAGTACTACTGTACTACAAATCCGGCACTGCCGGGCGCCTGAGGCGGGAGGGACCGCATTATCGTTGCCACCTTCACGTGAAGGCCCAGCGCGCGGGTGACCACTGACCACTCGCGAGTGGCGACCGGTCGGCCGTTTCATGGGACGGAGGCCACTTGTGCGTGCCTAGCTAGCCGTAGCCGTAGTAGACGACCTCACGCCGTCCTCCGTGCCGCCGGCGTGGTGGTCTCGCCCACCAACCTGGCGCCGGCCGGTAGGCTTGGGGCAACCCCGCCTGGGCATGGCATTTCCTGCGTGACGTACGGGCGCGGTGGCCGGCCGTTGCGGTAGGTAGATCGCAGTGTCGGGCCGGGACGGTGCGTGTCAGTGTGCGCGCGATCGCTTGCTACTACTGTACTACCTACGATCATCCATGTTGTTTTCCCGCTTGATAGACAGCGACGAGGAAGATGATCGATCGCACGGTCGATGCCTGTCATGCCATGCATCTACAAGACTTACGGCGCCAACGGCGGTAGCTGAGGTTGCATGGTATGGTATGGTATGATTTGTTATTATTTTCTCATACTATGTGTATTTTAAGTAAGGCGCCCGAAAGTAACCATCTGCCCGGCCGGCCGGAAAGCGACGCTATGCTTCACAGTTCACACCCCTATAGTAGCTAGAGTAGAGTGCAAACGAAGCGCGCGCCCATCTAAAACTAAAAGCGAGTGAAAACGCGCATAAACCCGGCACACGCACGCCTGATCCTAAAACGTCCGTAGTAAAATACTCCTCTGATAATAATAATAATAATACACGATCAACGGGCGCATGCGGCAACAAGCAAGAGCATACACGAACGAGACGTCCAAATTAACAAAGCCGCTCGCAACGTGCCGGGTAACTAGTGTACGGCTTACGCGATGCCCCCCGTGCAGCTTATTGCAATAAACAAACAAAAGCTTTGATCGTGTCTCACCCAACCGAAGGCTACGCTACTGGAACTGTAGGCGCCGTTAAAAATTAAGGGCATTGTTTAAGCAATGGGCGACCTATGCTATGCATGTGGCCGAGAGATGCTCTGGCGCTTAGAATACGTTAGCCGGAACAGCAGTTAGCATAAATAATGCTCCGCTAACACGGCGCTGCGCGTGGCGCATTTCTCTATGCGGAAATGTTGGGGCCTTTCTGTGCAGAAAAGAAAAAGGCGACGATCGCGTTCTCCGTATCCCGCCCTGCTTTCGGACATTCTTCTGTGCTTATTATATGTGTCCGGCTCGGCCTGGAACCATGCATGGATGGATGGACATAGACTAAGCTGGAATTGCTCGCTAGACAGCCCTGCCGGCGAGCTCCGGTCGTTGCGGTCTGCCAGGAGACCGCCGGGGTGGAGAAGGAAGGCTCACATGGGGTATCGCCGATATGGATGGATCTTGTACTACTAGTTTAAGATCAGATATAGTATGTGCTCTGTAAGTTGGCACGACACGACACGACACGACACGCACCAGCTTGGAGACGATGGTTGAGCTCCGATTATGTGTCGCGTACGTATATCCATTAACCAGCTAGTATCTCCTGGCTGATCCCGTGCAGTAGTGCTCCTGTCTAAAATAAGATGGCGAGCAAAGTGAAAGTAAAAGCGGATCAGAACGAGATATGTCCGTCCGAGGCGAGAGCGAGCGAGGGATCGATCGCTGTTGACTATTGACCGCCACCTCCTCCCCTCTCCGTCCGTCCGCCCGTTTGTGGAGCGCGTGGGCGCGGGCCCGCCGCCAGATTTGGGAGGATCCCCCACGGAGCGGATCCCCGAGACCGCGACGCGCGCACCCACCCCGCCCAACCGACTGCTGCCGCGACCGACCGCGCGTCCCCACCACCGCCACCACCACCGCCCGTGGGATCAGACGAGATGGGATGAGATGAGAAAATCCGCAGGCGGATCACCGTATCCCGGCGGGCGACGAACCGAATCAGAACCGCCGCTCGCGGCCCGGGTGCGTCCCAGCCGTGCATGCCCCCGGCGGTGTGGCCGATGGACTCATGCATGGACCGATGGGCGACGGGGTGGTGGCGTGGCGTGGCGTGGCGTGGCCGGGTGGGGTTCGGATAAGGGAGGGAGGAGGGAAAGGGACGGGGCAGCGGCAGGCCTGCTGGGCCGGGGAGGCAGGCAGGGCCGCAAAAGGCATGCGGGGCCCGCCGGGGATGGGGAGGGAGAAAAGGAGGCCCGGTTTGATTATTTATTTATTTTTAGTCGGGCGCGTAGCGTATCTCATAAAATCCAGGAAATTCGATCGTCCACCCGTGGCTCCTCTCCTCTGGCGAAAAGCAACAGGCAGACGACCACGCCCGAGAAGCGGGCCGGCAGCGAGGCCAGCCCGGGAAAAGCGACCCTGCTCCCTCCCCCTCCCTCTGTCTCTCTCTCGTCTCATCCTCTTGCTGCTGCTTGAGCTGAGGGTTGGAGTGCGGCGCATGTGAGCTGAGCTGGTTGGGCCGGCGGGGATGGGGATGGGGGTGGGAGGAGGGGAGGGTGCTCCGGTGGCGCCGGCGGTGGTGGAGGAGGCAGGGAAGGGGGAGAAGGAGGAAGGGGAGGAGGAGGAGGAGGGGGGCAGCTGGGGGTGGCGCGCGAGGTCGAAGCTGAGCGCGGCGCTGGCGGCGCTGTGGGTGGTGCTGGTGGTGACCGGGGTGACGGCGCTGCACCGCAGCCTCCGCCACGGCGCGCTGGTCAAGGCCGAGGAGGGCATCGTGTGCATGTGCGAGGAGCGCGCGCGCATGCTGCAGGACCAGTTCGCCGTCTCCGTCAACCACGTCCACGCCCTCGCCATCCTCGTCGCCACCTTCCACTACGAGAAGCAGCCGCCCGCGCTCGACCAGGTCCGTCCCCGACCACCCTCCATCTCCATGTGTGTGCCGTACGACGACGGCTTCAGCAATTGCTATCGCTTCCTCGGCTCCACTGCAGCGCTGCCGCGCGAATTCTCTGCCGATTTAATTCATGCAGCAGTACATGCTCTGCCTCTGACCATGCAGCAGTACATGCTCTGCCTCTGCCTCTGCGGCTGCTCCCTCTCCATTTAATTCATGCGAGAGCTTCCCGGGCCTGCGCCTGCCATGGAAGGACATGCCATGCCAGTGCTAGTACCGTTTTACCACAACCTGTAGCATGCATGCCATCCTACACAAAAAGAAGCTCCTGTTCCGCGTTTTGAAATTGAATTTGATTGACAGCCGCGGCTGGTTGCTCTGGCTTTAAATTAATGCGTGCGCTTCTTCTTGTTCTTGGAGCAGGACACCTTCGCGGACTACACGGCGCGGACGTCCTTCGAGCGCCCGCTGCTGAGCGGGGTGGCGTACGCGCAGCGGGTGATGCACGCCGACCGGGAGGCCTTCGAGCGGCAGCAGGGCTGGATCATCAAGACCATGAAGCACGAGCCGTCCCCGCCTCAGGACGAGTACGCGCCGGTCATCTACTCCCAGGAGACGGTGTCCTACATCGAGGGGCTCGACATGATGTCCGGCGAGGTCTGTGCTGGTCTCCCTCTGCTCTGTTTTTTCTCAGCTTGTTTTTTGGGGCTCTGAAGGTCTGTGTTGCTGCTGCTGCAGGAGGACCGGGAGAACATCCTGAGGTCGAGGGCGACCGGGAAGGCCGTCCTCACCAGGCCATTCAGGCTCATGTCGAACCACCTGGGCGTGGTACTGACGTTCCCTGTCTACCTTGTCGACCTCCCCCCGGATGCCAAGGTGGAGGATCGTGTCGCTGCTACCGCCGGGTGAGGCTTCCCCTCCCCTCGATCAATGCATTTCTCTCCTCTGTTCTACTACTCCACTGTAGAACTGCCGGTTCACCGCCATTTGCTGCCCACTATGCTGCTCATAAAGAAAGCACATTAGTTTGTCAGAGTGCAGCACTGCTGCTGCATGTTTTACACTTTTACTTCACTGTATCAGAAAATGAAAGAAGGTTTACAGAGGTTTCTATTCACAGTGCCACTGTGAGTGCACATCATTGGTCAAAATGGGTCTTTTATATCTGACCTTTTTAGCGCCTTCTTAGAATGCTCCGATTGGCATCAAGCTGGCTTTTCGAAAGCACCTATTCATTACTAGTTATGGATATAGTGGTTATTTGGAACTTGAAAGCGCCTCTTTTCAGGTGTAACAAAATAGTCTTGCTAAAACTAGTAAGATTCCCCTAACTAACTGAATTTGACGGTTCGGCGCAGCTCAGCGCAACAACCGCAAACTGAACCCATTTTGATTTTGCTTGACAGATATCTTGGAGGCGCTTTCGATGTAGAGTCACTTGTGGAAAATTTGCTGCGGCAGCTAGCTGGCAATCAGGAGCTGGTGGTGAATGTTTATGATGTCACAAACCATTCGAATCCTCTTGTCATGTATGGGTCTGAAGTCCCTCTTGGTGCCCCCTCACCCTCACACACCTGCACGCTTGATTTTGGTGATCCATTCAGAAATCATCACATGATATGCAGGTGAGGATGTGCGGATTGGTCATTTTGATTTTGTCAAAATAATTTATTTATTTTTTTGCATCTTTTTACCCCTCTGTCCATTATTGTGTGCAGATACAGAAGCGAGCCCCATGTTCCATGGTCTGCTATTACTACCCCGTCTGGTGTGTTCGTTATACTTATGCTTATCGGCTACATAATATACGCTGCGTGGAATCGCTATGATAGCGTTAAGGAAGATTGCCGGAAAATGGAAGCACTGAAAAAACGGGCAGAAGCCGCTGATGTTGCTAAGTCTCAGGTCAAGTTTTGTTGGAAGTCACTAGCTGTTGAGATATTCTAAGATTATGATCTAACATACCCTTCTTTGTCATTGCCAGTTCCTTGCAACTGTTTCTCATGAGATCAGGACACCCATGAACGGTGTGCTAGGTGATTCTTTTGTATAAATCCTATGCATTCCAGCTTATTGTTCATGCATGTAATTCCTTTCTTCCAAGGGAAGTGAGTGGTTTATGTTTTTCTTGTTTTTGTAGGAATGCTTGATATGCTATTAGACACAGAGCTGAAGTCAACCCAGAGAGATTTTGCGCAAACTGCCCAAATCTGTGGAAAAGCATTGATATCCCTAATTAACGAAGTGCTTGACAGGGCCAAAATTGAAGCTGGCAAGTTGGAGCTAGAGTCTGTACCGTTTGACCTTAGGTCCATCCTTGATGAGGTCGTCTCTCTATTTTCTTCGAAGTCAAGAGAGAAGGGAATTGAGGTTAGTTTAACTTTGTTCAGAAATTGGAAAAATATCCTCAGCCACGCTAATGCATGATCATACTGTACATTATTCGCCCTAACGTTTCTTCATTTGTTCGCTTTCTTAAAATACTCTGCATTTCAGGAAAGTATTTTGCTTATAGTAACTCATTGGTTGCTCTCCTAATTTCTGTTTACTCCTCAAATCGTAGCTTGCGGTATATGTCTCTGAAAGAGTTCCTGAAATCCTGCTGGGCGATCCTGGAAGGTTCCGTCAGATAATTACAAACTTAGTTGGGAACTCAATTAAGGTAAATGTGCACCGAAGTCCCACCTTCTCTCGTAAAAAAGAACATGTCTGTGTTGACACATCGGACAACTGGGTTTACTTAAATTCAATTACACCCCAACTTACATTGTATTGTTGTTTGCTGTGTGCTTACCTTCTCACAGTTCACAGAAAGGGGACACATTTTTGTGCAAGTTCACCTGGCAGACCACTCAAATCTAGCAACTGAACCAAAAGTTGAATCAGTCGCGAATGGCATCAATGGACATATAGACGAGACAAGTGTTGTATCCACAAGCGTGTCGCACAATACACTAAGTGGTTTTGAGGCTGCTGACAGCAGAAATAGCTGGGAAAACTTCAAGGCTTTGCTTTCTTATGACACAAATGATATGGCGTATGGAAGTGATTCTGAGAATGTCACTCTTGTAGTAAGTGTGGAGGATACAGGGATAGGTATACCAATTCATGCCCAAGGCCGGGTCTTCATGCCTTTCATGCAAGCTGATAGTTCAACATCTAGAAATTATGGTGGGACTGGAATTGGGTTGAGTATCAGCAAATGTCTTGTTGAACTAATGAGTGGTCAGATAAACTTTGTCAGTCGACCCAATGTTGGGAGCACATTTACATTCACCGCAGTTCTGCAAAGGTGTGAGAGAAATGCTATTAATGTCAGCAAGTCTGCTTTGTTGCATCCTCTGCCATCCAGTTTTCAAGGTCTATCCACACTGCTGGTTGATAAAAGACCAGTAAGAGCAACTGTAACTGAGTATCATTTGCAAAGACTTGGCATTGCCTCGAAATCTGTACGTACCATTGAGCAAGCACTCAGTGTTTTGCTTGGGAGAAATGGCACTTCGCTAACCAGGTATTTATCAATTACAACTTACATCATAAGTGCTTCCTGAGTTACAAATGTGAAGTGATAAGTTACCATTTTTAGAGAAAAGGGAAATGGAATATGCTTTCATCCTTATAAATATTTAGCTTTTTCAGAAAATATGCTACAAGAATTTGATTGCAAATAGATTGATAGTGGCTGTAGGCAATAATATTGACCATGTCATGTTGTTACTGCTTGTTCCATCGCATTTCTGATTATTTGGTAGAATGGATTCTTGGGTTTGCTTTCATGTTGTATTGCTACTACCATGAAGTTTGGTTCTTCTGTTCATGACTTAAAATTTGTAGAATTGAATGGAGACTCCTTATTTTCAGAAAGAGAAACACTTACTTATTTTGTAAGCAAGTGCGCTTTTCAAATAACTACTAACATGATTCTTAACTATGTTATTTGACATATTTTTATAGTCAGTTTTATCCCATTGAACTTAATGTTATATGAATTTGTTGCAGCATGCCCAGGAAACAACTTTCCATGTTATTAGTTGAAAGTGACTCATGGGGCTTAAAGATGGACGTCCCCTTGCGTACTAGATTTTTGGAGATGAAACAGAACGGGTGTGAATCGGTGTTCCCTCAAGTTATTCTCCTTTCATTGGCTGATTCAGACAAAATGAAAGCGGAATATGCCGTTGATTCTGTCATCACAAAGCCTCTGAAAGCAAGCACACTTGCAGCTTGTCTATTCCAATCACTCGGTATCAGTATCACACAGGCAAACAATGAGAAGAAACATCATGGCCCAGACTCTCTTTATGGGTTGCTTCTTGGAAAGAACATCCTGGTGGTTGATGACAACAAGGTAAACCTTAGAGTTGCTGCTGGTACACTGAAGAAATATGGGGCAAAGGTGGAGTGCGTGGAGAGTGGAAAAGATGCTCTTGAACTTCTGCAAGTCCCGCACAAATTTGATCTCTGTCTAATGGATATTCAGATGCCAGAGATGGATGGGTAAGCTTATATGCTATCAACCTATTAAACTTATACAAAGTAAACTTGAGCATATTGTTTTTACATCTAACCCTAAAACCCGACATACCATGTACAAGCACAATCACATGACAACCTGTTTTTTGTTGAGTTATATTTCTGTTTCTTCTTTCATGTCAGTTATAAGTTATAACATGTATATATCTGACCTGAAAAAACATGTATATATATCATCTTGATACCAATGGCTGATTGGGAATAGTACCAAATTCCAAGCTATGATTGAATGATAGCTAAAAAAATATACTTTTTGAAATCTAAACCCCTAATTAGAGGCTTGTGTTCTATCTAATACTGTAGTAATTACAACAGCATGTGATGATTATAATACCAAAGCTAGTATACAGAAATATGCGGTGGTTCCTTGTAGGTTTTCATATTTGTGTAGCCATGGCCTCATGGGTGTTTAACTCGAGTCAATATCTCTTTTGTAACCAGTACAGTACATATTGGTTGCACACATCTTTGTACCTGAGTCAATATACCACCCTTGCGCTTCTGTTTAAAGGAATACACGTATTTTTGATACGCCAGGTTTGAGGCGACCCGGCAAATACGGGCAATTGAAGCAAAGGCACATGACCAGAAAGACAATGCTGATAATTCAGAAGCAGGTAGTGCAGCAAAGAAGGCCCAATGGCATCTACCGGTCCTGGCAATGACTGCCGATGTCATCCAGGCCACTCATGAGGAATGCACAAAGTATGGAATGGATGGCTACGTCTCGAAACCCTTCGAGGAGAAGCAGCTGTTCAAGGCAGTGCAGAAGTTCTTGGGACCTAGCACATCCAGCTGACAGCGATCCGCGCATTCCGGTGTGTGCATTGGCCGGGAGGAGCTCTGACTGAACGGAGGCAGCTATGTTTTGTGCGATCCTTTAACCGAGGATGCATTCTGGTTCCGGTGCTGCCCGTGGTCGCGGCTTCTCCGGAGTCCGCGCGACGATCAAGTTCGTGGCGAGGTGGGCAGCCCAGAGAGGTAACGGAGCTGTACATGTATTGTATTGGCAGGCCCTGTTTCATTACCGTAATCTAGGAGAAACATATGCCGAAGGGCGAGCACTGCGTTGGGAAGCAGCATGTGTACTGTTCGCGTCGATCTAGAGCATAGTTTTTGCTGTACAGCTTCCACGGTTTTTCTGCTCCGGCATGCAGACATGGTAAGGCTGGGAAAAGATGAGGTTAATTTTTGGCTGTTTTATTTGCTCCGTACTGGAAATGCTCCGGTATGTGTGTTAAGCTGATGTAAATGGCTCGATTGCATTTCCACGTGGATATGTATTGGGAGGAAATAATGAATCGATTGTGGAAATGTGTTGGGAGGGAGCTGTTGAATCCAACTCTCAACTCTCAATATTTGGAAGAAATAATGAATCGATTATAATCCTTCCTTTCTGTTCGAGTAACGATTTAGAGGAAATCTCCCTCTGAAGTATCCGTTTGCAAACCCTAGATCCATGTGGGGGAGGGGACTTAACGATCTTTTCAGAATGAATGGCAGGAGCTAGAATTCACTGGCTTTAGATCACTAGAACAACAATTTGCGCTTATAAGATCCTTTGCTAGAGCGAGCTTGGAATTTGCAGATCATGATGCTGAAAGGAGATGAGCAATGCGAGTGCTGTGATACACCACCTCGTCACTGAACCACTCTACTCTGCATTTCCAAGACCAGCGCTGTTGTCTTGAGTACTGTAGTAAATCTCACTGAAACTCATCCTGCTCAGCCAAGATCTGGTGAGAATCAGACACAGGGGAGGCGCTCAGAGGAGCTCGTGCTGTGGCAAGCAACTGGTGAGTAGAGAGTATTGTTCATGACCTCCTGAGAGCAATTCACAAAAAAGAACAGTGTATAGCATGTGACGGTCACTTTTCAAAAGAAATATCATGGGCACAATTAGTATGCTCTTCTTCACCCAGACCCAGACGTGTGTTCTTTCTTCAAGCCTACAAGATCAGGAGAAAGCCTGTAATGCTTCCATGACACCAATTTTTCTGTCATGTCATCTCATGAGGTGCTACTGCACTAGCATATGCATTAAACTTGACAGTGGCTACACCAGCTAATCCTATCAAGAAATAAATACACAACAAATCCTGCTTCGAAGAACGGCCAATCCGAATTGTGCCGTGCATGGATTTGTAATTTTTTTTGGCATGATAGTTGTATCTTCTGAAATTGCCCACACCCGCAGTGCAGCCACATGAACAATACTGCTTGCAAATATTGACGCATAGCAACTTTTCCTCGCCCAATTGCTTGTTTATGCTCAAACTTGCCTCTCGCTCATTGGACTGCAGCAAGTCTACAATCACACTCAGACCACTATAGCATGGCAGGAGGCTGCCTTCACAACCAGAATTCTCCTCGGGCACAAGGACTAGCCATGGACAGGGGTGCATGGAAACTTGCTATTCATGTGCCAGAACCATGAGTTGGTTGCGAGATCTTATGGGTTTCACCTCTACCCTACCCCAATTTGTTTGGGACTAAAGGCTTTGTTGTTGTTATTGTTGTTGTTGAGAGTAGTATTGTCTTGCTATTCTCATGCCTTCACCCTTCACATTTCCATATCCGGTTCAGTGGAGAGATGACTAAATTTCTTTCTATAGCTACTGTCATGGCTTTTCTTCTCAGCCATGGAATCGACATGGCCACAGCTTCAACAGTTTGGCGTGAGCAGGATTTCTTCAGACACTGCCCATGGTTCCGGTGCAGCAAAAATGGACCTGAGATTCGGTTTCCGCTCCAACTTGAATCCAGCAATTCATCATCTGGAGCAAAGATAGAATACTCTGGCGAAGACACTGTCCTACTTCACCCACTTCTTGGCCCATTCAATGTCACTGCCAGAGACTATAGCTTATCGTCACCCCGCTTGTGCAACCGTGCCATAAAGTTCAGAAGTTCATCTCGCGGAGTCTACCAGCTAACTCCAACCATCAGTGTAGTCTCTATATGGTGAACCAGGAAAGCTTTTAGGCTGTTCAGGCGAGATCACGCCAGTTCACAATTTTATAGCTAGCCCATTCTCCTGCGTTAGCAACGCAACCCACCTCTCGTATTTGGTGAATGCTAAAGAAGCCGTGTATATTCTTCCATTGGACTGCAGAGTCATCTCAGATGTTGTCATTCCGATATTAGGTGGACCAGAGCCACCATCCGTTCCCTTCAATCCAGGAATGGAAGAAGCGCACAAATTTTATGAGAAGTCTACTGGGATACAGGGCCACCGTTCGTTGCCTTTAATTGCACACAGTGTGAACAAGCTGTGCATTCAGCTCACAAAGGAATCGAACATTTTGTGTGCCTCATCCTCATGGTATTTGTTTCTAACAGAACAAAACCTATTTTATGGCTTAACATGGTTTAATACTATGAATCTTAGGAATCTCCACTTTTTATAATTCAGTTATCTACTACTGCTTGAATCTTGTAACTTCCAGGAAAGTTGCTGCTATAATATTTTTCCATATCAATACAGCATACAAATTTGACTAACTACCTACAAAGAGAATATGGTTACAACTTTCAGAATTGTGCGAAGTCTTAAGTCATAACACTCCAATGGATATGCATAGTGCCCAACTTAATTGCTAAGAAAAAAGACCCAAAATCGTAGTAATGCAAAATTATGCATGTTTTAGATGCCCTTTGATTTCATCAGGTGATGCGAGCCGGTATGACAGACCGGTGACTATGAGGTGAGAAATAGATGCTTTTGTAACCTTCACTACCTTACCCTAATCATTCTCAATCTCCAGTAATGACTCCCTTTAGTACCCAGAGCTAGCACCATGCAAAAACTTGCTTCTCATGTTATAATTTTTCCAACAGGAATATGGCTTCTGATGGTATCAGATTAATGTAAAGACCATTTATCTTTTACATAGACTAACATTAAGAGGCTGTTCCTAGAAAACCAAACTTTTTCCTATCTCATTGGTCAAAACAAAGTTACTTTGCCTTTTATGTACTACTAAACCATCAATGAGATCTTATTGTTCATTGCAGGTACCACTTCAATTCAAATTTTCCTTTGGCTACACATTTTTTTGGAACAAAGAAAAGTATCTGCTACAGATAAATTATATTAGCTATTCTCACTCCTACATTCCTTTATCCTCATTAAATCTGTAAGCTGTGGCTTTCTATCGTTAGATAATGTGCTGATTACCTGTACACTGTATTTATGCAGCTACATCATCAGTGGCGGCTTTGTACTTGTGTTGATGGTGGCTACCACTCTTATCTTTCACCGAAGACGAGATATAACAAAGAGATACATTTGAAGGTTGAAATGTTTAACAAGGTGAAATAACAACAGCAACAATGTGGATCAAAGCCTTACTTTGGCATCATGGATCATGCCAAAACAAAACAAAATTCTGGGCTGTCTTTAGTACAGCCACTTATAAAGAATGAACTGACAGCATATTATAGATGTAAGTCTGAACTAAATTCATAAGAAGTACATCTGACTCAACTATTAAACATGTTTCTTCTCTAAGACATGGTGCAAGATTAGATCAGGGTTTTCGTGAGAAAGGTAAATTTACCTATCTTTGTCTGCTAGGATGAAAATCCTCATTCGACAGATGGCCCAACAGGCATTAACAAAACAAACAAAGAGCTGATTTCTTTTCTTCTTCAATTAAAAAAGCAAATAGGATCTCCCATGAATTCAGAAACCTCGCTACGCAGCCATGCCAGTCTTTTTGCCCCTCTTGGATGTTGACGATCCATTCTCCACCAAGATCCTAGACAAAATGTCAGCTTGCTTTGAGTATCCTCCAGCTTTTAAGCTATCCATCAAAGCATCACAGCCCTTCTGGTCTACAGCACCTCCTTTGTGCTTGATCTTGCAGAGCATGGAGTAGGCTGGCAATGTCTTCTCCTCAGTGTACAGGGCTTCCAGGACTTTGTCATATGTTGAGAAGGTAACTTCAAAGTCCCGGTCCAACGCAAAATCGGCCAGCTTATGTGCCTCCATCACTTTGTCCTTCCGGCAAAGGGAAACAAGCAACTTATCTAGATCAGGCATAAAGCCATTTTCCACCATCAGATTGACACGACCAATCGCCTCCTCTACATGACCCCTCATGAAGAGAGCTTCCAAAATCATATGTGCCATATCCATGTTCTCAGTAACCCCCTTCTCGATCATACTCTTCATGACCCTACTTGCGGTCTGAACCCGGCCATCATTGAAAAGCGACACCATGACAGACTGGAACAGAGCTGGCCTTGGTAAGTGACCATGCACCATCATGCTGTCCAATGCTGTCTTTGCATCAGCTGGCTCATTTTTCTTCAGGAAGCTATCAATAAGCAGTGCATGCGAATGGGGGTCAGTAGGGACACCACGGCGTGTCATAATGGCAAGAATCTCCTTTGCAGCCTCCAGTGCACCTTCCTTTGCATGCCCACGGATAAGACTGTTGAATGCAGACTTGTCATCGACACCTTTCTTCATCAGCTGCCTGAAGAACGTCTCAGCCTTGTTGGTATTTCCATTGTTGCACAGATACTCGATCACTGGATTATAAGCCGGGGCTTCCAGCACTGGACTCTTTGGGCTAAGCAGTGTCCCCTTCTCAAGAAGCTCATCGAGCACCTCCACAGCACCATCGCACTTACCACCTGCACACAAGCTCTCCATCAACACACTGTACTGCCTCGGATCCACCAGGACATGCTTGAACTGCCCGCTCTTCTTATGCACCTCCAATGCCCCATCCAAATCCCCAGCTTTGCACAATGTGGACACAAGCCTCAGAAACACCGATTTGTCCT